AGTACCATTGTGGATTGAGACCTAGACAGTCCAGGTCCTGGTCCAAAGCCACATGGCTAGTATCAGAGCTGAAATTCATCTCCTAACTCCTAAGTGTGGCATTTTAGACAAAATGTCCTAGTTGGATTCAAGCTTCCCTGATTTTGGCCCTGTCACTTTCTCTAAACCTCAGTTGACCCCGCAACAAATAGGCTATATGATACCTACCTCATAGGTTTGTAGTGATCAGTAAATGAAATAATGTCTGTATAGCATGTGGCCTATATGCTGTATTTTATAAAAGCTCAATGGCTGTTCATGTTTCCTTGTGTTTTTAAGGCAAAAGCGTATATAATATTTATCACATACCAAGTATCCTAAGTGTTTATAAATATTAATTTAATTCTCATGACCATTTTGTGACATAGTTATTATAAATACCTCCATTTTACATATGAGAAAACAGGGGCAATGAGAGGTTAAGAAAATTGACCCAGGTTACACAGCTAGTAAATACCAGATGAGGGATTCTGGCCGCCATGTCTGCAGTCTCAACCACTCTGCAATTATTCCCAAGGTACAAAGTCAAATATATGAAGATGTGACTTTTACATGTTCATGTTATACCACCTTAAATTCCTACGATCTCTAGGGAAAATTATCAATATACTATGGTCTGTATTTTAGTATATATAAAATGTATTATTGATTTTCTCAACTAGTGCCCATAACCCACTGTACACTAAAACTCTACTAAGTGGATAGTAGAAGGTTCATTTTATCCAGATAGCGACAGAAATCAGGAAAATGTAGTTATCATGCAGGTATAGTTTGAAGTCCACATGATGGGAGAGGTAATTCCAGTTGAGAACTCAAAGTACTTGAAAATATTTTTTCATTTTTTTAAAATATATTTTATTGAGTTTTTACAGAGAGGAAGGAAGGGGGATAGAGAGTTAGAAACATTGATGAGAGAGAAACATCGATCAGCTGCCTCCTGCACACCCCCCACTGGGGATGTGCCTGCAACCAAGGTACATGCCCTAGACCAGAATCGAACCTGGGACCCTGAAGTTCGCTGGCCAATGCTCTATCCACTGAGCCAAACCGGTTAGGGCTGAAAATATTTTTTCTTATACAAATAACTTATATCAGGAATTAGTTTAGGCTTACAGTAGAGTTTTATCATGCAGCATTTAGACAAAACGATAAAACTATTTAAAGATGCAGAGCCTGGTAGACAAAGAACAATGATAAGTGTTGCTTGGTTATGACTTGAATGGAAGACGATAAATGGGGGGTGATAGTTCGAAGGTGAAAACCCCACAATGTGAGAGGCAAATGGAAGGTAAAAACCAAGAGTATGACCAGTAATAAATGATAGGTAGTAATAAAGAGCTGAAAGTAAAGAAGCTTAGAGAACGCTTCTCCACGGCGGAAGCTATTGCAATAGAGATCGACCCAGATCTTTGAGAGGAGCCGTCTGTTGTGGGCAATGGAAAGCCATATTTAGTCACTTGTTGGCACAAGCCCTGGGCTTTGGGGTGCCCATTAACTCATTTAAGCCAAAAGATTTTTTTATCCTTCTCAAACAACAATGTGGAAAATGAGTGGAAGATTTCTAGTAAAGCAGAAATAAGTTATACACACATATAATCTAGAAAATTTAGCTGATTGCTATGAGAGTAGTTCTGGTTGATATAGGAAGTTTTCTGCCCCTTCTTTTTTTCTTGAGTTTCTGTGATTTCAGATTTTATCATTGGCCTACAGGGCTTCTCCTGCTCCCTGGAGAACTAGTTGAAATTGGCACAAATACTGTTTTTACAGAGTAAGTTAGTAAAAATCCCTCCACATTTCCTTTAGAATTCTTGTCTTTACTTCCTCATGGCTCCCTGGTCTCAACCTCTGCTTATGAGATTGCAGTTTTAAGTCAGCCGCACACTGATTTTTCAAAAATGTATATACCCAAGTGAAGTATCGATGAATGCACTCGTTTTACAAAAGATTTGGGGACTCTCACAGTAGAAATACTACCTTGCACACAACGTAAAGGACTCACATTTAGTCTGTCCCATATTATTTTATACTCCTTCCCCCTAATCCACACTGTGAAATAGGTGAAACTTCCTACAAAATGCAGTCTCAATATGATCTAAAATAGCACAGCAGGGAAGGAGCCCGAGAGGCTGGCATAGTTTCCTCAGCACCCTTGAAGATTTGAAGAAGAAGATTATGTCCTCCCCTTACATCCTCTGAGAAAGAGATTGGGACTTGCATGTATCTTATCAACAGCATCCTGTGTAGGTGGTATACTAGGCACTTTTCCATAGGAGGTCTTCTTAATCCTCAGAACGTTCGAGTATGTTTTCTCCCCATTTTATAGATGAGGCAAAGTCTCAAAAAATGTGCCCAACATTCTTACCAACATTGGAGTGCATCTGGGGAAGGGTAAGAATCTGCTGAAAAGGAGAAACAAGAAAAGGCAGAAATTATTCACCACCAGACAGTCTGCCTATCGGAGTCATGAGAAGAGGGGAAGGCTCCTCTAACTCCCATTGTTCATACATCCAAGACCTCAGCACTCAGTGTCCTTTGGAAATCCAAAGCACGTTAAACAAAGATTCTTTTTGTGCCTCTGCAGAGATTATTTTAGTCTCTATTTGTAACGTCGCATTTATTATCAATGGGTATTTTCTCTCTTGTACACCTATATATTCCATTATGCTATATTTACATTTCTTTTACACATTTAATTAAGACGTTAAAAATTTGGAAAGGATTCTCCTTTCATGGAATTTGGAAATTGAAGGTAGCATTTAGCAGGTTTCTCTGTCAACCCTAGTAGTCATTTTTAGAATCTTTAAAGGAGGAATTCAGTTGCCCACACAGTTCCGCTTTCTAAGAACATGTGAGTGGAAGTCTTTTCTTAAGCAAGTCAGCAAACCTGTTAGCAGTGTTCCAGCCTCCAGCAGCTAAAATGAGAACATGATACCCTTCAAGACTTGATTGGGGAAGGGCAAAAAGAAGAGGGGGAAAGCAGAGGGCATTTCTGCCCGCCTTTGGCCTTTGGAGGCCACAGCCCTGTCCTTTGCTCATTCTAAAGAGGTTGGGAAAAGGGCTGTGGAGTCCTACAGTAGATACTCTTGTACATCTGGTTTTGCCCAGCATTATTTTTTTATGAAAACCATCCATGTTGTTGCAAGTGGTTATAGTTCATTCATTTCCATTGCTGTGTAAAATTTCATTTTATAAATATTATCCCAGTTTACTCACCTATTTCTACTGTGAGTAGACATTTGTACTCCGTATTATAAGTGAGCAGTCTTAACTTTGTGTTTGGGTGAACATACTCATATTTGTGTATGATATATCTTAGGAATAGAGTAGTTGGGTCAAAAGATACATGCCTTTGCCCAGCTGGTGTAACCCAGTGGTTGAGTTGACCTATGAACCAGGAGATCACGGTTCAATTTCCAGTCAGGGTACATGCCTGGGTTGCCAGCTTAATCCCCAGTGGGGGGCATGCAGGAGGCAGCTGATCAGTGATTCTCTGTCATCATTAATGTTTCTATCTCTTCCTCTCCTTTCCTCCCTGAAGTCAATATATATAAAGATACATGCCTTCAGCTGAGAAGATATTGCCAGACAGTTGTCTAAAGGAGTCGACCCAGTTTACATCCCCCCAGCATTGTCGAAGAATTCCAATTGCTCATCACCACACTTGCTACCATGTCTTTTACGTTTTAGCCATCCTGGGGTGTGTTATGAGGACAATACAGTCTTACTTTATGTTTCTTATGGATAACACTGTTGAACACTTTTTAATGTATGTTGGCCATTTGGATAAAGCAAGTCATTGTTCATAAGTATTAAGTAGTAATATTTGGATATGGCAGAAATCATATAGGTGATAATGAATTAGGCGCAATTTAGTAAACACTACTTTCATTAATGGATCCTTTACTATTGATACACTCTATTCCTTTAACAAGGCTTTTGCTGTGGTAAATTCCATTTATGGGAAGTTCACTGAATGCTAATTATGAAGAACCCCTCTGTGGAGAGGTGCGAGGCTGCCAAGGCTCATGTCAGAGGAAGCTCCCACAGGAGGCCACGTTGAAGCTGTGTCTAGCGGGTTCAAGCAGAAAATGGAAGTTAATGTACTTTATATTCAGAAAGTAGAACACCTGGGGGTCTGAGGATGTATGAAACTTTTAGAAAATTACAAATGTCCAGGTGTGACTACAATAGTTGATAAAGAAAACAGCCAACTTGTGTTCTGTAGGGCAAACAGACTTGAGAAATACCAAGGGCCAAGAATATTCTGGGCTCAGGGTTCAACTACATTACAAATACCGTTGTGTAGCTTGAAGTATGTGAATTTAGGTCCTATCAGTTACCAATGATTTTTACCCCAAGGGAAACATTCTCATGCCTGAGTGGGGAAAATATTTTATGGATAGCTTTTTGCTTTCCAAGTTAGGTCTGATGTCAGCTCTTTAGACTGGAAAAGTGAGTAATACTTTTATTGTCACTGAGAGTGTCTGTAGGAGCCATGTGAACTCTATAATTTTTACAGCTTATATTCCATAGCAAAGCACTGGCAGCCTCTAGCTACCCAGGTAATCCTTTCCTTTTCCTTTGCTGGGATGCAGTTATTTATTTCTAACTAGTGCTTGACTAAAGCATTAAAAAATACTCCTTTCAAAACCAAAAGCAATAGCCAAGTGCATTATCTTTGATACCGTATTTTAGTTTGCTATTATTGGAAAAACAGAAGTCCTTTATCACCTTACATTTTAATATATTTTAGTGAAACTTTCCAAAATGGTTAACCAGAAGAAGATTTATTTTTCCCAACTGGTTTCAAAAAAATATTTGGAGAATTTAAAACCCTGTCGGGAAGGTCTGTAATTTCTGAATAAACTTGGTTCTATTTCAGGGCCAAACATAACTCAGTTGTTGAAAATATTTTATCCCCCGAGTCAGTCCTCACAGCCTGTGGTATTCTCTGTCTGTAGGTTGAAGAAAAAGTCCCAGTCGGTGGATATTACTGCTCCAGGGTTCAACCCTTTGGCCGGTGCAGGAAAGCAAATGCCACAAGTCAGTAAGCCCCCTGCACCCAAGACACCCATCATTGAAGAAGAACAGAACACAGCCAACACAGCCAATACCCCGAAGCATCCCTCCCGCAGGAGTGAGCTGAAGAGGTTCTACACGATTGGTGAGCTGCAGCTGTTTCACGCACTTGAATACATGAAGTCTATGTAGACGGCACTGTGATTGCACGGGTCGGCCGTGGAATGCTCCCTTCTTTATGTGATGTGCATGTCTTTCTGATAGTTTATGTGGACATTTCCTGATATGGTCTGAACGTGGAGATGGAAAAATACTGAAAACCTTCCGTAATGTTAAATAAGAGGGCAAGCTGGAGGGCCTTCTATATTTGGCCTCAGGGGAGTAAATTATATACATACGGTTTCCCAGTGTTTAAGCTGAGGTGCTACCATTTGCATTTATGCCATTCTTCAGCCAACACCATTTTTGGGTTTTAATCTTTGCTTTTTTCCCTCCAGGCTCTTGAGTCTTTGACCCTATTCTGTCAGGATGTCAGCCTGTAACTAATAAAGCCACTAAGAAAATAGAAAGTTGTCACATTCTCAGAGAGAACAAACAACATTGTAGGTCTGCATGGAGCTTGCACGTGACTTCACCTGGAGAGGCTGAACCACACCAGAGCCCATGTGGGAAAGGGTCTGTGGAAAGGGTGTTGCGGGCCAATGTCCCTGCTTTCCCAGGTAGAAGAATATCCTGTCATTTTGAACTTTAGTATTTAATTGGAATGTTGTAGGTAATCAATCTAAATGAGTTGAATTATCAATTTTTATATACCAATATTTGTCCATCGTGTCTTTATCCTTCCTTTTTAAGTAACAAAAACAATTTTCAGTGTCTTTGGTCTGTTTGAGACAAAAGTTGCTACACATACCATATACGGTAGAGGGTGATGCATAGAGGAGGTGAATCTACTGAGGAAGAGGAAGGGTGCTTTGGCCTCACATGTTATTTCATGTTGCAGAGATTTGGTCATATCCAAAAGCCGCAGTAGCAGAGACTGTGTTTTTATGAGTTTATGACAGTTAAAGAGATCATGTTGTGTTTGGTGTCCACCACCCCTACAGCCCCAACATGGGATATTTGAAATTTTTTCTCAGATCTTTTAGTGTCCCTATTTAGAAGTGATCATTAGGAGATCAGATTTCTAATTCTGATTCACACACCAATTTTTCTGTGTGATTTCAAGTCATTTTCCTGTGTCTTTGGGTTAAATTACTTCCCTTCAGGCTTGAAGAGATGCCTCCATGTGGGTCTAGTAGGATTTTCCCTTTCCATTATTTACGTACCCACTCTTTCTCCATCTACTCTCAGGCTTCCTCTTTCCAGAGTAAGGTATGTTTTTCATAGGCAATGAGCATGATGCCTTTAGGGATGTCAATAGCCAACTAACAAGAACTGATAAAAGACAGTATAGGCAGGTGCATATTTCCATTTGTAAAACTTATGATAGCAGACCTCTACCAATCATCTGGAAAAGCCCATAAAGTATATATATAACTGCCTCGCTCCATTTTTCAGTGTCTTCTCCTCCCACCCTTCAACGTGTCCACTACCTCCTATTGCTTTTCTGATTTATTTTTTTATGTTTTATTTTTTGCTTTTCTGATTTATTAACTGGCTAAGAAGACTCAGTATTTTGTATTCGGAATATAGTTTATCGTACAAACTCAGTATTCTCTAAAGATGAGAAAAGGAGAAAGACTGAGCAGGTTGGCCACAGGAAATAGAGGACGATGCCTAGAAAATAGAAGTCTACGTGGTGAATTTGGATTGCAGAAAGGGCCATGAGTTATTTTAAATAGCTCCACCACTGGTGAATTGTTAATGATTGGATTTGAAACAGTTTGACTCATAGTCTATGTCAACGGCATGTCTATTATGTTAAATTTGGCATCTACATTGTGGACTTTACTGTGTTTACGTAACCCTTCCACTAACTTGGATCTGGACACATTTTTAAGGCTGAAATGTTCGCAGCCTTTTGAAAGATCTTTCACCCGTTTTGAAAGACCATTTCACAAAACAAGTCTATTTCAGTCTCCATTAGTAAAAGTATGATTTGTAATGAACAGTAACAATTAAAATTACCATTATTGGCAATTCTATATACCTGGCACTATCTTCTATCTATACCATTCTTCTATCTCAATTCACTCTCAAAACAACTCTGAGAGATAGGTGTTATACTCTTTACTTTTATAGATGAGAGATAAAACCTTAGAGAGATTAAAGATGAAGACATGAGCCAGAGATAGCAGACTCTAAACATGAAATTAACCTACTCTTATGACATTTTAGAGTCAGCCTTCTGTGTCAGTCAGCAGGATACCATCCCCCTCTGCACAGAGGTGAGCCAGAGGGGTTTCTGTAGCAATATAGTGGGGTAATGTTTTACTGAAATTCCCAGAAATTTTCACTTAAGGAAACCATGCCAAGTAACCCGTCCTCCTGCCAATATGCCCTTTTATTGAAAGATAACTTTGTGTCTCAATTTATGGTGCCCACAACTGAAAAAAACCTGGAGCCCTCTTGTGGCCAAATAGAGTATTACATTTAAATTTAGCAATGAAGTGTAGTACTACTAGTATATTTAGTTGAAATACTATATTTCAATTAAAGCAATGATTCTGGGGATTTACATTTTTTCAAATAAAAACTAATGAAATAGAAAGTTTTGGGGTTATTTACTGGATGAGTGGTCATGGTAGCTTTTCTAGAATTTTTTCTTTTTTTTCTTTTTTTAATTTCAACTTTTATCTTTCCTGAACCTACGTATAGGGTCCGTTTCTTGTGAGAGAATTCTAGGAAAGAGAAATTATAGCTTCCTTGTATAGATAATAGATTCTGGTTCTTAATTGTTTTTCACAACGGACAAAAAGCTAATACAGCAGCAAAAAATAGCACAACATAAAGTCATTACTTTTTATGAGAATAGCCCATTCTATAAGCAGTATAATAACATTTCATTGATTTTAGTAAGTAGGTGGAACGCTATTCTCTATTTGTGTGAAATATACGAATCTTCAGGTAAATGGAAAGGAGGGGAATCACTATACAGGACTGTGGCAAAGGAAAGCACTTTTCTACCCTGCTCTGTCACTGACTGTGTAATCCTGCAAGTTATTGACCGTCATTTGACCTTACTTTTCTCCTGTGCACAGTGAAACATTCAGACCAAACAGTGTCTTTCTGCATAGTTTTTTTCTCTTACTCTCTTTTTATTATCACAACTGACCATATGAATGTGTAAGTTTTCAATTGCTGTGAAACAAATTACCACAAACTTCGCTGTTTAAAACCACCCCCATTTTTCAGCTCACGGTGGTTTTGTAAGTCAGCAATCCACATACGGATTCGGTCTAGGTTATCTGTTCAGGGTACCAGGAGACTGAAATAAGGTGTCAGCTGAGCTGAGTTCCCATCTGGAGGATCCCCTAGGGCAGCGGTTCTCAACCTTCCTAATGCTGTGACCCTTTAATACAGTTCCTCATGTTGTGGTGACCCCCAATTTCACTGTTACAAATTGAACATAAAACATAGTGATAAATCACAAAAACAATATGTAATTATACTATCTAATAATAGACAAACATGGTAATTGACCGTACCTTTGCTACGCCTCCCATTGGCTAATCAGCAAGATATGCAAATTAACAAAGATGGTGGTTAATTTGCATATGTAGGTGCGAAGCAGCGGAGCGAAGGCTTGAAGGCGGCTCTGGCCGGAGCAAAGGCCTGGGTCCCGGGTGCCGGAGGAAAACCGGTGCTGGCAGCCAGGGGAAGGGAAGGCCTATTGCACAAATCTTTTCGTGCAACAGGCCTCTAGTGTAATTATATATGTGTTTTCTGATGGTCTTAGGCGACCCACAGGTTGAGAACCACTGCCCTAGAGAAACATAGGCTTCTGAGGTCTTTCTTCTTGTTGGCAGAATTTGATTGTAGACCCGAGAGCTCCTTTTCCTTGCTGGTTGTCAGCTGGGGCCACTCGCAGTCTTCAGAGGCCACTCTCTTTCCTGCCCATGTGGCCTCCTCCATCCTCAAGCCAGTAGCTGTGTCCCTGGAATCTCTGACTTACTCTCCCGGGGCTGGCCCAGGAAATCTCTGCTGTTAAGAGGTTTGTGTAAGTAGCTCAGGGCCACCCAGATAATCTGTCTGTTTTAAAGTCAACAGAACCTAATTGTGGGAGTGATGTCCATTCATGTTCCCGGGGTTGCACAGGTGTGTACATCAGAGGACTGGGCGTCTGGGGACTGACTTCGAGTCCTGACCAACACATTGACATATTTTTATACCACGTACCCACTCTATGCACACTCAACTACCAGCACAGCTCAAACAGAATTTCCTTAAAACATTTTCCTTACCATCTGTTCTGATCATTTTTATTCCATCCTATTTCATTTCATTTCATTTTATTAATCCTCCCTGGAAGATATGTCTTTTATTTATTTTAGAGGAGAGGAAAGGAGGGAGGAAGGAAAGAGGGATGGGGAAAGAGAGAGAGAGGAACATTGATCAGCTGCCTTTCGTATGACCCCAGCTGGAGATGGGACCCACAACCTGATATGTGTCCTGACCCAGAATCAAACCCATAACTCTTCAGTGTATGAATGACACTCCAACCAACTGCGTCACACTGGCCAAATGCAGTCTCAACTCACTAAATTGATTGCATGGTCCATTAATGAGTTGAACCTATAGTTTGAAAAACCCCTGGACTAGATATTTGAAGTCCTTCAGATACTTAAAATTCTATTATTTAAAAAAATAAAGGTATTTCCCTGGCATTTAGTACAGTGTGGCATGCATAGTAAATGCTAAGTAAATGTTGGGGGTGAGAAAGGGGTGCTGGTGGAGGTTGGGGTGATGAACCTGCCCTTCTCAGTGGAGGATGAGAGGAGAGAATCTGCTAAGAGTTTCATTTAAGGAAGCTCTTTGGCGGCCCCGGGGCTTTAGAGAGAAGGATTGGAGCACAAGGAATAAGAGTACAACCCTGGTATGTGCAAGAAAAGAAAAGAAAAATTAGAGTTATTTAAATGCTCTCTGCCAAGTTCATGGAAGAGGCAGAAAAGGGGGAACCTTGCCTTCCCAGGTTCCTGGCTCAGC